GTGCCCAGGGTGATGTGACCCTTCTGTGGGTATTTATAGAGATCTGCTCCTGTCCGTGAAAGCCTTCGACAATACATCAACAGAATCTCTTGCTACTTGGAGCGTATTGGTACTCTTGGTACACTTGATCTTTTTGCATAACATTTATGCAGATTGATTTGGGAGCTATTTTATAATTAGTGTGACCTCCTTCAATAAATGTGCAAAGAATTGTTGGTAGGTCAAACTAGGAGGTACTAGCTAACATTTATTCCAGAGAATCCCAAGAAAGAAAAATATCTCTTCTTCTAATTATGAAAAATTAGGATACATTGAGCAAAAGCTCCTTGTTAGAATGCAAGGCTGATATTATTCCCAGATATGGTACCCCAGAGTCAAAATAACTTCAGAAATAAGTCCACATCCCATTCGTACCATGGATAACTTAATGGAACTACTTGTAGTGATGCTGATCTTCATTAAGCAGTGTTAATTGCCTGTACTTTTGCTTTGAAAATGCTGAAAGGAGAATTGTTCCAGGTTTTAGAGAAAAGTCTTCCTTAATATTTTTTCTATCAACTTTCTTTAGTTAGGAGAAAAATAGTGTATCAGTGCATATAGTATATTCATGAGCGACCTGTAATCTTTATTTATTTTCAGCCCTGCTGATTAATCGGGAGACATTTTTAAGCCGTTCTTAAAGCTTCAATTGATTAATGACACCAATTATTCAATTAAAACTTGCAGCCCTAATTTAACAATGACATTTAGAGCTTTCCAGCCCATGTAATCTTTACTTTCACACTCCTTCAGTCTTTTTCTACTCTTACGAGTTTTGTTAGGATCTCACTGGATCTAGATCTGTCAACAAGGAAACTCAGTAAAACTGATCAGTTCATACTCAGTTTGAAAAGGCTTTAACAGATTCCTAAATGCTGCTACAGCTATCCTCCTCTTTTCCCCATCTATTATAAATGCCCAGATTCTTTATCAATTAAATACATTTTCCTGCAAAGATTATTTTTTCTTTGATGGTTTGAGCACAACAGTTGGTGTTTGAGTAAACAAGCATCACGTTGCTTGTTCTTTGTCTACCTATTCACCAAAGGTTTTTTTTTTTTTTAAGTTGATTACATTTTGGGGATTTTTTTAAATGGTGCGATGCTTAAGTAATATTTCATTTAGAACATAATGCTTCTGTATAAAACCTGATATTTAAGATGGATTTAGCAAAATTGTGCTAAAGGCACTGGGATCTGTAATGTCACTGAATGGTATGCATAGGTTTCCCGAATTAAATTAAAAATGGCCCAGATCTCATGAGATTTCAGTGTTCTTGCACAAGAGCTTGCTAGAATGCCAAAATCTTGTAAAGTTTTAATAGAGAGAAACCTGGATGAATCTTGCGGGATTTGGTTAATCTGTTCCAAAAGTGTAGTACAGTTCCTTGTAATCTACTAAACCAGTTATAAATATTGGGACCATCTGAAAAAGAAACATTTTTAGAAGAATAGGCATTTAAACTGTTGCTATTCTTTGTAATAATGAGGCTGTAAAAGATTATGTTGCCAATTTTTTAATTCTACCTTAGTTTTCATAATATAGCATCATAATTACATTTTCTTAAATTGTTGTCAATCCTTTGTAATGATCATCCCTAAATGTTTAAATCCACAGGGATAATATGCAACCCAGTTCTGTCTTACAATTACTCCTATAGTTTTCTGTCAATTTTAATGAACGTTACAAAGGACTTTTCAATATTTACTTCCAATCCTGCAGCCACAGACTTCATCCAACTCAGCCTGCAATTGGAATATAGCTTTAAGGCAAATATGCATATCTTCTCCAAGGAAATCATTTACTTGATGGTCTGTTGCTACCTTAAAACCCTGATTGGCCTTACTGTTCTGCATTCCACACCAATGCCTCTATAATCAAAATAAATAAAGTACTAAAGTGAGGATGCTGGCTTAGCTTCGCTTTGTGGAATGTCACGCAGTAGACACTCGTAAACACTGTCAGGCATTTACTAAATATTCTTATTTGCAAGCTACTCACAGGGAGCAACCTTTAAGGGCAACAGATTCCAAACCTGTTGTAGCTCCTTTGTCTTTCTCCAGGCTTTATTCTGTGTCCCAAAAATGTCTCTAGTGGTTTCTTCAAGAGATCAGTCAAATTCTCCATCACTCACAAAGGAGTCTCAAGCACTGAGAACATCACATATTAAGAGTTCAGAGCCACACCCACTTCCAACCGTGACAAAAAGGGAAAGAGGGATAAAGGCCCAGTTCCAGCTCCAACAGCTCTGAGTTCCTCTCAGCTTCTCCAGTTTCCTTATTGATGGACTCTTCTTTTTGTATTGTCTATTTCTTGTCAACTCTTCTTCCCATCTTGGGAAGGGAGAATCATGACAGAACTCCCTTGAAATCTCCACTGGACCACCCTTGCAATAGTTGAAACTGCAATTTTGCCTGTTGGTCATCTTGAGGTGACCAATATTATAGTTAGACACCTCACACCCTTCTGCTTCCAAATAATATCTCTTCCCAGTTTTGGTCTTGTACCATCCCATTGTTTTCTTCCTCTCAGCTTCTGCAGTTTCCCTCTCAGCACCACGTTTTTCATAGTCCCAGTCAGTGGACCCATATTCCTGGAACAACCCAGAATTATAGTAAGACTATTACAAGTGGTGGCCCTCCATTCTGAATCCTTCTCAAATCCTGCCACTGTATTAGACTTTGGACTGACCACCCCTTATTTAGGAATAGGAGTCACTCACAAAAGAGCCTGGGACATGATTCAGCCAGATTAGACACTTTACTGCAGGCAAGAATGAATCCGTAGTGGTGGCCCTCCATTCTGAATCCTTCTCAAATCCTGCCACTGTATTAGACTTTGGACTGACCACATGAAAGTTTTTGCTAGCATTGCTCTTCTAACCTTCCAGACATTTCTTCAAGACTGCTTTCACATCCAAGTTCGTGCCCAGCATGGCCTCTTTTACAAAAATCTTCTCCTTTGTTAAACCCCCTTTTCTGCCTTCAATGTTTTGTCACATTCAGCATCTTTATGCCATAAAGGATAGGGATGCCATTTCTTAGTCTAACATCTACCACCTAACCCTCTTGCAGTGGAAGCATCAGAGTAAGGCTCCCACTCTGAATAAAAATTATTTCTTTATTTTATTTGAGAGATTTGTATGGCTGGCCATCTTAACAAATGCTGAGTGGCTCACAACAAAATTCTGCATCAGTGGATGAGAATGGCAGAAATTGGCTGTCTTCCTCTGTATTCCAAACCTTCATGTATGACAAAATACATTATTTTGTAGGAGAAGAGATCCCCATTTCTATCTCATTTGCCAATGGAAAGAGGTAAAGAGTCCAGGTTTTTCAAAAAGAAGCAACACTGTTTGCCAAGCATGAATTAAATACAGCAGCTGACTCAGAAGATAGCATCTTCCATCATCCCATGTTGCCCTGCCTGGCTCACTCTGCTGGGCTGAGATTGATGGCT